GTTCAGGTTTGTGATCGATACAACGTAACGTTTCCTGCGAACCCCGTGCTTTAATCATGTGCTGCCATCTGTGTTGACTTTTAAATATCATAGTTACAGGGGAAAACCAAACGTCAAATCCTAATAAAATAGAAATGCCGGATATGAATTTGTTCTTAGTGACTGAATGTGCATAAATGGCGTCCGATGTCCCCCCGTCATAACACAGTGTCTAATAGACGTTACGTTCCCATTGTATTAGACTAGTTTTCTCAAAATTTATCAGCCCACAGTCCTTGAATTGGGTCAGCAAACCGCTTGTGGCTACGGAAATATGAGTTTAGGAGATACGCCAAGGAGGACAATGCCGATTTTTTGTTATATTTTTATTGTGTAGCAATAAACAAAAAAAAATTGTGAGGAAGCCACTTGGAAGGCCGAGAGATGTATGAAAATTGGGGATGTATATGCTGTGAAGAAGGGAGGTGGATGAACTAGGTTAGAATCGTTTCCATCAGCGGGTTTTGTGTTAGCGACGTTGAAGTTTCGGGTTCTATTACCACGCCATTCAGATGTCGGCTTATAGGAGTGTGACGTACGTACTAGAGGTGAGTGGTAAGATTCACGATCAAGCTCCTGCTTTCAATTGGAAAGAGGCTGGGTGGATCCCATTGATGCGATGGAGAAATTTAATTTCCCCTAGAATCGAAACTGTCGCCCAGTCTCTGGCCAGTCGTTTTACTGGCAGTAATCGTATTTTCGCTGTGTAAATAAGTCAGTAAGTGGAACAGATTTTCGTCATGTTGAAAATCTGGTTTTGTAACATCCTGGCAATCTAGTAATTTCCTTCGTCCTGTTCAGAATTTTACGAGTTCATTAATGTCATATGCGATAAAGGGTAATACTTTTCTAAAATTTAAAATGATTTTCAACCTCCTCTGAAAAAAGGTAATAATATGCACGTTTTCAGTCTGTTGCTGTATCTTTGGTGTGCTTAAGTCGGCATTGCACCGTGAAATAATGACCTCCTTCCAAATCCTCACCACCATTCACGACGAAGTTTCTTTAGTGTATGAATTTTGCAGATGACAGCGTCCATCTGACTCGTCTATATTATCCTCATGTTTAATATCAAGTGTACAAAATGGTCACTTCACATGAGGTTCTTCAACCAAAGGTTAGTAAGAATTTATTGTTTTCTCTGTTCAAAATATTTGTCTAGTTCAGTGCATCCTCCTTTATTTAACTCTGTTATAAGTGTGTGTTTTATAATGACACTATCAAAAGTACGAAATTAGCTGGTCTTAGACAGGATAGGCGAAGGAAAAATCTTACGAGAAGAAGAGATAGGATGGTGGGACACATTCTGAGGCACCCAGGATTGGTTAATTTGGTAATGGAAGGAACAGTTTAAGGGAAGAATTGTAGGGGGAGACAAAGATTGGAATATGTGACGCTGATTTTTGAGGATGTTGGCTGTAAAAAATATGCGGAAATTAAGAGATTGGCGCAAGATAGTCGAAAATGGAGGACCACATCAAACCAGTCGAAAGACTGATGACAAACAAACAAAATCAGTAGCTCAGAAATGACAGGCTGATTAATGAACAGTAAATTTTGGAAGGTTGTGGAAGGAAGTGTTCCTGTATAATTTCAAGCCCCGTCCCGGTATTTTAATAGAGATTGAGAAAAAATACAGTCAAAATAACCGGTCTCCAGAACTAGATTTGAACGTGAATACAGTCAAAATAACCGGTCTCCAGACCGAGATTTGAACGTAAGCTAGGCTACGGGACGAGATTACTAACCAGTCGGCCATAACGTTCGATACTATTTTATCGATACAGAATGTAACAGTTAGCAAACTTGCACAGGCTTATAGGGTAGGTTCCATTTTCAATTCCGGGCTCGGAGGCTGGTTATCCTGAGGTTAGTCGTGGTTTAGTTAGTACCTCGAGGCGAATTCTCTTGCTGCACTTCAGTATAGGTCACGAGGCAGTCGTGATATACTTGAGTCTCTATCTGCATTCGCCTGGAGAAACCGAGGATAACCACGAAATCCTCAGCCAGCATCGTCCGTAACCCGACCGACGTTCGAAGCGTTACGTTTCGAATAAAGTTAACTGTTTCGTTATCTTGCTCATACTATCCTGAACACATTATAGATATCCGAAATGTATAGACGTCAAAGGTATTCTTTTTTTCAATACGGCGACGCCTGCGCTGTCGTCGGTCTCCATTGCACTTCGTTATATGGAACTTCGTATTCATTTCGTCGAAACGGTAGCGTTAGTGTAGCGTGGTTAGCAGAACCAGGCACTTTCTGAAGGCTCCGTTTACGAAGTTCCCATTCAATTGCAGTAGGCAATAGACGCGGAGAGAAAGAAAGATTACATGAATTTACGCCACGGTTACAACAACAAACATTATGTAATTTTATTGTTTGTTGGGATATTGTGGTTTACCATTGGTTACGGAGATCTGTGACAGACAGCACCACCCACCTGTCTTTGTATGCACTATTGAAACAGTTGAATGCAGAACGTGTGTCGTTCCGGTTGTGATACGTTAATGTGTCAATTCTGATAGGATCGTAGTTAAATTATCTTCATTTTCCAGACTAACTGAAACAAACGATTGGTAAGTCTTTACCGTTTTTCTTCTATTATATTTTCTAACACCGTTAGAACTACGTTTTTAATTCACTTTGATATACGACTGCAATTATAGTACAAATTAAGAATTAAGATATGTAGTCGAAGTTCATAATTATAAGCACAGCTTTACATTCTCTTATTGGATTGCTTTCCAACGCTTTATACTTTTTTTGTTTTGTTTATCAAATGATGTCAGTAGCTCGAACTATAATAGCATCAACTGATAGGATGATTCAGAAATAAGAACACCTTTGGTAATCATATGGAAGGAAATGGTCGTGGCATAATTTTAAGTATTGTCAAGGCATTTCCCGAGAGGAACTGAGGAAAACCATGTAAAAACCTCTGGATAGCTGAGCCTTGGAACTGAGATTTCAACTCCGGACCTCCCAAAAACGAAGCAGGAGTGATAATCGTTTGGTCGTAACGTTCGATGATGCCTCATCAAAGGCACAGCGTCGAAATTTTCCATTTATGTTACAGTGTTTGAACTTTGATACTGTTTTGTCTTTAAATTAAAACGCGTATTGGTATCAGTTGCAAAGGCGATTAAATTTTCATTAAGAATTATTTGTTGCCTGTGAGTTGGCTTTATGAGGTTGGAACTCGGCCTTTTTTTACTGCTGTTTTATTCAAAAGTAATTTTTTTTAACTGATATTTTCTTTTATGAATTTACTCGATGTTATTCTTCCATCTGCTTTCGAGTCCCTGCCGGATTTTATGTTGAAACTATGTTCTGTGTAATTAATACATACTCCATATCGTAGTGCTGCTTTTCGACTTACAGTATTCATAATACGACTTATCTTATAGATGTTTGAGACTGGAAAGAAAATGGCGTAATTCGCTCTTATGTGACCTGTAACATGCTTTTGAAATAACAAAAGAAAATCGCGTGAATTATTGCAGAAACGTCGACATTAAGTGTTAACAATGTAAACGTAGGAAACATAATTCAATACTATTAATGCTTTGCCTTATTTAACATCCGCCTTGATGAAATCAGGTATTTAAATAGCAATCCTTCTTTTAAATAATTTTAATAGACCCAAGATTTTTTGACTATGTACTGAGAGAGATATATACGCAAGACTTATATCTGTGAGGTTAAATATTTAATTATATGAAGGAGAAATACATTTTAATTGTCCCACTACCAGATATGCACTAGAAATAAATGATCAATACAAATTAGGTAGGGGAAGATGAGGCACTTTGCAACAGCGCCGTCTCTTTGTTTCTGCGCTGCTAGTAATTATGCCAATAGAGTTACAGTGCTTCTGAGGCGCGTGTTCAAACTTTGTCTTTGTTACTTTTGTTGTTTTTCTCACAGTTTTCAGGGTTAAGTTGTAGTCAGTAAATTTTGGTTATTCTTTTCAATGTCGAAAAGATTGTTATTGCTTCATACAGTTCAACGCTGTTCTTACGTCCTAAAAATGTTTTCAGTGTAGTTTTAATTCACGACATTTTATCCTTTGTCGTACCCGTAATTTGCATAAAGCAGTTAGTTTAGTCTACAAGAGTGACGTTGGTTTAGGTGCATGTGATTGGCAAAGTAACCCAGTTCATTGTTGTAAGTTGTTTAAAAATCTATATTTAAATGTTTTAATGATCTAAATACTTTGGTGAAACAACAGAGTAAGCTATTTGTAAATGCAATATAAGAATGGTATTTATATGTTATGAATAGAATAAGGAGGAAAGCAATAATTTTCATACAAAGAGAAAACACGTCTCTGCATACTCCACTCAACTGTAACTATGGCAATCAGGAAGAGAAAATTTTGAGTTGCAACAGACATGCGCCCTTAGTGGGTTAGTTTACAACAGTTACAAATAAATTTATTTGTAGATTACTTAAAGACGCTTTTGGTACCATAGACTATATAACGTCGAAAGAGAG